TAGGTTGGAGGGTCATATGTTCTTAAGCAGTTGCATGTTCCCCCTATTGCTACTTCTTCAGTCGATTTGTTTTCTTTTCATCCAAGTCCTAAGTCGTCTGAATTTTATTTCTAGCATTCATGCCTTTGTCATGTTTCTAGTTCTCGTTTACAGTATTTAGTTTCTATTGGTGTTTTAGTAGCATAAGTAGTCTTAATATCTTATATTGTAGCGGATTCAGACTTGCAAAATTTACTACTTTACCATTTAATTGAAGTTCCACTATTTCTGTTGCTGTAACACCCCAAACAATGTCATGTGCCATAACCATATTATTATCCATCTTTTAATGTCCCAAGTCAAATCAACTATCTCATTACACAAAATACTTAAAGTAAAGGTTAGAAATGAGTAATTAGGAAACTTTGAACATTTGAATATTATTATCAAATTATTAAGACTTAGGAAGTAGTCACCTCTTAAATTTGGAAAGCAAGTATGTACCACACCGCAAGTATTTTTACGTGATGCAATTGAATACGTACTTTAGTTTAATTACCTTACATTTGATTAGAAGCAGAGAGTATATTTTAATAAAAAACTTAATGTCAAGTGCGAATAAGACACTTTTAAGGAAGAATACCAATGATGAAGAACTTAGGAATGCTGCTTGGAAAAGGAACTTTGGTGTAGAATTTTGGGAGAACATTTTAGGGTTAGGAGACAACTTTGAACTTGAATATTGAATATCTAAAAATCTTAGGAACCTTAATTAAGAAGCTTAATGAATTAGGTCTAACGAGTACCCAAACTTAATCAAGCTTAGCAATAATTAAGCGGAATTAATTAAACCTAATCGAGATTAATTAAGTTAATAATGATTAGAGGCTAACGTTGATTAATTAGAACTAAACTTGATTAACTAAGCTAATGATGTAGATCAAGGAATTGGTGAAGCACATGGGTGAAGCATACAACTCAAGGGCTTGGATTTATCCAAGGGAGACAAGCGTCTCCATACCAAATAAAAAAATAGAAAAATAGAAACAAAAATAGAAAAATCTGCTGGAAATTGTTAGAAAATTGTTAGAAGAGAGAGATGAAATAGAAGAAAAGGGGAAGAGGAAGAAGAAGGAGAAAAAGAAGATAAACAAGGGAGCTTCAATTCTTGGACCAAAAATTGAGTAAAAATCTTCACAAGGTAAGGATTTCTACCCTCTTCCACAAGATATAAATATTAATCAACAAGAAAATGATTTAGGATAGGTTCTTGATCGATTAAAAGAAAAGAAATGGAGAAGAGATCAAAAGAAGCTAGGTTAAGAAGAAATTGTGGGAATTCAACTAATTGCTTAAATAAATCAAAGGGTTTTGTGCAGAATCTTTCAAATAAGTATCCAATACCTTGAATTGAAGAAAATAGGAAAGAATGAAAGAAAGGAAAAGATTAAGCTAGGGAAGAAATGGGTTAGAAATGGTTAAGAAAAAGTGACCAGCCTTCACTAATTTGATCACATCTCCTTATACACTAGGAATTTGGATGTGAAACCACCACCATTAGAAACTAGACTTTCGGAGCTTGAATTTAGACTCAAGAATCGCTTAAAACCGAGTCTGGATGAGAGATATGCCCATTTGAAGTTAGAAGGAAAAACTAGTCGGATGGATTGCTTAATTCGCACATGCGGCCCGGAGGCCCCACATGTGTGGCCAATAGAGCATTTGCTCAATTTTTCTCTTTTTTAACCTTTTTGGCTTGCCAGGCCTAGTTTTGCTTAATTGATACTTGAAATAAAATTGAATAAGACTTGAAAATGGACCTAAAAGTGTATGGTTTGAGAGAAATAGTATAAAGATAAGTTGGAACATTAGAATTAAAACCGAAAAGAGTAATGTTTCATTGCTTTGGACCGTATTTCATTGAATGCTTGTATTGTACTTGTGTAGGTTAAGCACTTTGGAGGAAGTAACCGTTTGTTCAAGAGCCATTTGTAAGTAGTATTATAGTAAAGTTATGTTGTTAAACTATGATTTGAAATGTAAAACCTATGCTATGTTTATGAAAGTTATATTAATGTTTTACAATGAATGAACATCCTATACTCTTGTATCATGTACTAAGATGACACCTTGGATCTTGTTTGTTATTGGGAAATCATGCCAATAACCTCTAGCTAACTAAGCTCCTCTAGCTAACTAAGCTCCTCTTACCACCTGTTGTGGACTCTTGATATTCTCGAAGCCTTTGGAATAGTCATTGCTATTTATATGCTTGCAAGTTAAGCTTTGTTTAACATGTACAAATTATATTATGTTTGAACTATGATCTTGTGCTTGGTTTTATTAAAACTCATCGATGTTCATTCATTCACCACTTTACTGTATTACTATTCACTGGGCAATAGCTCACCCCTCTCCCTTGTATATGTATATATAAGTGATGAAGAGTCCAAGTACAAAGAGAAGTAGATTAGAAGTCTCTTGTGTGCTTGTGCTGGCTTTGTCATAAGTGTTGTATTTTATTTTATCGTTTGAGTCGTGTAATAATGTAGATAACAATCCAAGAAGAATGTATATTTTCATTTCATATAGTTATGCACTGCTCTGAATGAATGTTTCAAATGGACTCAATATAAGCAAATAATGGCTTCCGCACTCAAAAATGGAAAGTTTGCCCCAATTATCATAGGAGTCCAACTTGTTTTGAAAGTTCAACTACTGGGCCGATCACTACACTATCTTGTTTGGGGCGGGGCGGGGCGGGCTGGGGTTGTCATAGCTGTACCTTTTGATCTTATGCAATTTGATGTGTGGGTCCTATTCCCACTAAACGAGGTTCATGCTATTATGTCTCCTTTATTGATGATTGTACATGCCACCATTGGATTTATCTCATGAAGCAATAATCCAAATTTTTTTTCTATCTCCACTGCTTTTCATGCCATGATTCACACACTATTCATCTGTTATTAAGTACTTTCGTTGTGATTTGAGTAGGGAATATCGTGATACTGATTTTCTTCATTTATTAATTTGATGATACCCTTCAACAGTCTTCATGTGCAAAAAAATCCTGAACAAAAGCTGTTGAATACAGGAATTAGAATATTTAGTGTAGAAATTTAATGTATAAAGAGAAATGATTGTATTATTGATTGATCTAATGTTATTGATGATGATATATTGATTTCAATTACAATGATTCATGATTCCTATATATAGAAGAGGGTGAGTGTGTAGTAGGTAAGGAGTAGGTGAAGTGGAGGTGGTAGTGGTGTAGTGGGTTAGGTTTAGTGGAGTAGGTGAGGTGGTAGTGGTGTAGTGGGTTAGGTTTAGTGGAGTAGGTTTAAGTGGGTGAAGTAGGTGGAGAGTAGGTGGATTTTAACATTTAGAATATTTTTATTTTTAGTAGATTGTATAAAATCCGTGATTGTATGAATCACAGATTTAGAGCATTGTTTATATTGTTTTCTAAATTGTATCATGAATATATTATATATATATATGGCCTCTACCTCATTCATAGGTAAGCCAATACAATTCTCTTCATTCTTCTTGGTATCAGAGCCAAAAACCCTACCCTCCCTTCCTCTGTGTCGGCAGCCACCAGCCACCACCGAAACTCCTTCTCCTTCAGCCAAAACACCTTCCCAGCCCTCAACCACCAGCCGACAACCCCTCCCCTACCCTCCTCTCCTACCGGTAATGTCGCCAGTCAAACGGCGAGCAACAATAGCGAGACTACAAGAGAGTGACCAAATACGATAGTTGGAACCATCTAGTTTGACGGGATTGATATGAAGAGAGGGACTATCGTTAAGAGTAATAACACAACATAGCCCAACCTCTCCACTAACCGTAGAATCCTTATTCACACCCTCAGCCATTGAAAATTAATCCACACACCAGCCTAGGAAGCAACAAAAAAACAAAGAGAGGCAAATCCACAAACCCTCTAGAGACAAAAACAGTGCCTAAATAGTGCCTAGAGAGCTGAAACTGACATAATTTGAGAGAAACCTTACCAAATCATCAAAACTAGGACTCCAGGCCCTCTAAAACAGTCCAGTCGGCTCCCAGGGTAAAGGAAGAAAGGGAAAATTCAGGCCAAAAACTGCTCCAAGAAGGACTTCCAAAAAATCACCCAGTTTTTCCAAAATATCAACAAAAATTGGAAAAGAACTCAAGCCATCAACAAAAAATTAAAATAAAATCCTAGGGTGAAAACCCATTAAATTTTGACCATGGAGATTTTTTTTTCTTTTTTTTTTTTTTTTCCCTATACACATTACAGACATGACACACACACCCCCCCCCCCCCAAAAAAAAAAAAAGGAGAAGAAGAAGAAGAAAAAAGAGAGAAAAAAAATCTTTGGAGGAAGATGTTGCTCGGAAACCATGTTAGATTTGCATATGAGGAAGAAAAGAATGAAAGAAGAGAGAGAGAACGGCTGAGCTGTATTAACACAATAACGAATTAGGGTTCTCCCTTGTTACATGTATTTATAATAAAAGACTAAAAGACTCAAGTTACAAAACTACTCTTAGACACTAACACTTAACAGTGATCTTTATGACTATTATTGAATAATTCGATACTTAGCTTCTATCTTAGTTCTCATTTATGACATGACATGTATAAGCTCAAAAAACACTCATTCAGTCTGAATCGGGTTCGAGTCATGGTCATGGATCTTGTCAGGAATTGACGCCCATAAGGTACTCAGCAGCCACCAGTATGACTGAATTAAGACACAAGCATTATGTCTTCTGTACTTTCTTTTGTTTATTCCATGCTTGTTGGAGTTTATTTTACTCATTGTAGTTGGTTTTCCATGGAAGACATTTGTGTTTCCTACACTTCCTTCTTCCTTCAATAGAATCTTCATATCTCGTGTTTTTATTTGGAAAAGATGTGAAAAATACTCATTCTACTTTCCTCTTCTGCTTCAAATAAATAGACATGTTACTGAAGTCCAAAGTATATTAATGAGCATAAAGAAAGAGCCTACAACAAGTACCTTGACTCCACGAAGTATAGGATCATTGCTAATCATATCAATTAATGGTGGGCTGCTGAGAGGAGTGCCAGTTGTCAACATGTCACCTTCTATTGGATTCCCATAAACATTAAGAGCATCCCATAGACTGGGGAAAACCAGAAAGAGATGGAAAAGAGTAAAAATTAGTCTTCACCATCAACTGAATGACAAAATATCAGACAGATGGTATAGCAAATAACCTGCTACCCCTCGTCAGGATAGAAGCAAGATCAAAGCGAAAACCATCCACATGCATTTCTGTAACCCAATATCTGTTGTAGAAGAAAGTAATCCAAAGACATTTCAATCCCATGCAGCAATTAAATCAAGAATTGAAATAATTAAAAAAATTAAAAATTAAAAAAAAAAAAGAGAGTAGGCATTATCTCCCTTAACATAAATAAAAGCAAAACAAAAAAAGAAAAGCGTAAAGATGAAAACTAAAAATAAAAAAGAAACAATATCACCCAAAACATATGATAAAACTCTGTAGAGATATCATTAAGACAAACAACAGGAAACACTGGTCAGCAATGTAACTAGCTTAGAGGATTCTATTAACTGTTTTCTTGATGGATAAATATGATAATTCATATAGAATCAGACACAAAACCTTTGCAGATGATAGGGATACAAAAAAGATAGGAAAATACAAACCAAAAGGCTACCAGAATTCATGAAAATAACAAAAGAACAGCATAGGGTAAAAATGAGCAGAAATGAGGTTGGAAATATGCTTTCTGAGCTTTTGCTCAACTCAGAGAAAGGAACATTCAAGATCTGCTGCAGTTTCAGGCAAGACAAATAAACTCGATTTAGAAAGGTTTGCAAGCCATTCAAGGTCAGCTTGGTAGCATGCATGCGCTGGATGCTTATTATCTTAAAAGCATAGGTAAAAAAGGCTTGAAAAGACAAAGCATGAAAACGAGAAAAAGCTGATCTACGTCATATTTAATCGCTTGATAAAATTCTCAGCATTAGTATATGGTAATGAAACTTGTAGAATTACACAATAACAAATGAACTGAGTGTTCAGAGCTAGTTTGAGCCCAGCCTAGAATTCCTGGAGCTCAGCTAGGCTCTTTCCATAAACAATGGGCCTGTTTGGTGCAGCTTCTTGCAATCTAAAAGCTGGCAATCAGAAGTAGAATCTAAAAACTTTATTCAGCTTATTTTAGCTATTTTGGCCTCATAAGTTGTAAGTAGAAGTCACACCAAACACAACGGCACAGATTTCCAAAATAAAAAATGCTATAAGCGGTCCCATAAGCTGCACCAAACAGGGCCAATGTCACAATCACACTTAAAAAACTAGCACAAAAACCCCCTTTAATGGGTCAAACTTGATCTATTCATAAATAGTTTGGTTTGTTTGTAGCCCCAATCAATTCTTCCCTCAACCCCTTAAAGGCATTGCAGAACAACCAACTCATCGACAAGAAATTTCCAGTAAACTTAACACTGCATCAAACTTCAATGCATTATATATGCATTCGGCATTTCTTTGTACAATTACAACCACATAGCCTTGTGTCACAAGGCGAGGCTTTCAAACACAAGCACAACTCGTGTGGCGCTTACCAAGGCACGTCAGGCAAGCCCGCCAAACCCAAGTCTTCGATGGAAGCAAGTTACAAGCAAGCAATCCAAGTAAATACAAGCAAAAGTATTACAAATGGAAGCAACAAACTAAAAGCGAAATAACAACATTTGCATTGACAAAAGAGTGAAATTACAATGCCACTACAATGCACAAATGTGCTACAAAATGGTCCAATGCCTCCTCCGCAAAAGCTGTTAAGTCCAATGCCTTCTCCCAACTAATTTTATCATCATCAAGTCCCCTTCATTTAACAAGGAACTCCTTGAAAGTCTTCCTAGAAGAAGTTGTCATTCGATCTGCAAGGATGGCTTCGACACTCCTCTTCTTTGCCTTGGCCATAATGGTCTCTCGTGAGGGTCTTCCATGTCAGCATGATAAGGCTTGAGAAAGCTAACATGAAAGACTGGGTGAATCTTCATCCAGGCTGGAGGGTCAATCTTGTAAGCACTCTTGCCAATCTTAAAAGGATAAAAAGAATTGTTTTGGCTTACCTATGAATGAGGCAGAGCCCTGTATTTATAATGAAACAATATTACAAAATAGGAAACGAACAAAATAAGAAACGAAGATAAAAAAGGTATTAAATCTGTGATTGACATAATCACAAATTTTATACACACTACCATAATTACAATATCACTATTTCCTAATTCCAACACTACCATAATTATTATATCACTATTTCCTAATTCCCACACTCCCTCTCTAGCTGATGTGAAAATATTCAATAAACGCAGCTTGTCGATAGACGACTGGAGTAATGTTGGTGAACATATTTGCTAACTGCTCAAAAGAAAAGACAAAGGATGATCTCACAATACCAATCCGAACATTCTCTCGAATGAAATGTATATCAACCTTTATATGCTTAGTACGCTCATGTGGGACAAAATTAAAAGACAGCATAATAGTAGACTTGTTGTCACAAAACAAAGACGCAGGAGCAGTCTCCTCAAATCCCAACTCTGCCATAATAGAACGTAGCCATAGAATCTCACAAGTGCCTTGTGCCATAGCCCTATACTCAACTTCTGCAGAAGACCTAAAAACAACTGTTTGCTTCTTAGTTTTCCATGATATAAGATGATCATCATAGAAAGTACATAAGCCAGAAGTAGAACACCTATCTGTTCTAGATCCTGCATAGTCAGCATTAGTAAAACAAGAGAGTCCAAATTGAGGATCAGTTGTGAAGAACAATCCCAAGCCATGAGAGGTCTTCAAATATATCAAGATGTGATGAACCACATCAAGATGTTCTGTACGAGGTGCATGCATGAATTGGCTAACCACACTAACTACAAATGTGAAGTCAGGTCTAGTATTAGTCAGATAGATGAGAGGCCCAACAAGACGCTGATACATGCCTGGGTTCTCTAGTGCTTCGCTAGACTCTGATGTGAGCTTGACATTAGGATCCATAGGAGTAGAAGTAGGTTTACACCCTAACATACCAATATCCTTAAGTAAGTCAAGAGTGTACTTCCTTTGAGATAAGGAGATCCCCTGTCGTGAGGGAGCCACCTCAATCCCTAGAAAATACTTGAGATTCCCCAAATCCTTAATATCAAAGGTGTGTCCCAAATCCCGTTTTACTTAATCAATGCTTATAGAGTCATCACCGATGAGAATGATATCATCTACATAAACCAACAAGACTATACACTGACCTGCAAAATTACGACGGATGAAGCACGTACGGTCTGAATGGCACTGAACAAATCCCATAAAGATGATGACTGAGCTAAAACAACCAAACCAAGCTCGTGGAGACTGCTTCAACCCATACAAAGACTTGTGCAGTTGACATACTTTCCCTGAATACTCCCTCTCAGCCAGAAAACCAGGAGGAGGGGCCATATAAATTGTCTCAAGAAGATCCCCATGTAGAAAGGCATTCTCGACATCAAGCTGATAAAGGGGCCAAGAATGGAATGCTACGAAGGAGATGAGTAGACGAACAGATGTAAGCTTGGCAACTGGGCAAAGGTAGCACCAAAATCCTTACCAGGAACTTGAGTGAAGCCCTTGGCCACTAAGCGGGCCTTATAACAGTCAACGAAGCCATCAGGTAGGTACTTAATAGCAAAAACCCATTAGCAACCCACGGTACTCTCGCTAGTAGGTAGGAACCAAATCCCAAGTATGATTTTGTTCTAAATCTTCCATTTCAGTTTGCATGGCTGCCACCCATTTTGGATTCTGAAGGGCCTCTAACACAAACCGAGGAATAGACTCGGACTCAAGCTTGCCAAGGAAAGAATTATAAGAGTCTGAAACCCTGTCATATGAGAGATACTGGGAAATGGGATGATCATTACTACACAAATAACCTCAATGGTCTGGGGGATGTCAATCCGGAGGAGGATTATGACGAGGAAGGAAAGGAGATAAAGGGAACGAATTACCTAACCCAAGATTGAAGAGGTGGCAGGAGAGGGCTGAGCACGAGGACGGTGAGAGTATACCTGCAATGGAGGGAGGAAGGAGGCGAAGGTGGAGGATGAGAGAGGGGGGCAACCTCATCCGCAACCTCGTCCAAATGGGAACCGGGCAAACACTCGGAGTATCTGAAGGGGAAACTTGCAACAGGGGGTTAGGATTAAAAAAAGGAAGATCCTCACAAAAAGTAACATCCAGAGTGTGGTGAAAGTGACCAGACACAGGATTAAAACATCTATATCCTTTAGACATGGAAGAATACCCCAAAAAGACACAACAAACAGACTTGTCATCTAACTTAGTGCGAGTGGGACGCTGGTCCTGAACAAAACATATACACCAAAAAACATGAGGTAAAAGAGGAAAAATGGTAGTATTGGGCATAAGAATATGGAATGGGATAAGGCCATGTAACACACGACTAGAAGTTCTATTAATGAGATAGACAGCAGTAAGAATAGCCATGTGCCAATAAGACTTGGGCACACACATACCACGAAAAAGACAATGTACGACAGACATAATATGACGGTTTTTACGTTCAGCGACAACATTTTGTTCAGGGGTCCGAGGACATATAAGTTGTTGAAGAATACCCGTTCGATTAAGGTTGGAACAAAACTCGATGGAGATGTATTCCCCATCATTATTAGAGCGGATATTCCTAACAACTGTACGAAATTGTGTCTTAACCATTTGCAAAAACTGAACGAAGATGGGAAACACATCAGATTTGTGGCGAAGTAAATAGACCCAAGTGCACCTAATGTGACAATCAATAAAAGTCACATAATAACGATGACCTGAAAAAGCAGGAATAGGAGAGGGACCCCAAACATCGGAATGAATAAGGTTAAAAACACTAGGGGCCCGTGTCATATGTGGTATATAACTAGTACGAATATGTTTATACAACTCACAAGTAACACAATGAAATTTAGAATCCTTGCAAGCGAAATTTAATAAAAGGAAAAGTTGACATAAATATTTAAAGTTAACATGACCCATATGCGCATGCCATAACTCTAAAATTTGAACAAAAAAAAAACACAAGATATAGAAGATGACAAAACAGATGCCTGAAAACTAGCTAAAGTAGTATAGCTCGTCGCGCTCATATCCTCTGCCAAAAATCCTCTTCGAACTCAGGTCCTATAAAAGACACGAAGAAGATAAGAAGATGACAGCGCATTTAAAGGTTTTAGCAAGACGACTAACAGATAAGAG